ACAGTGTTAGTGTACACTACTAATTCTGGACTCTGAAGTAGCATATTTTAGGGCTAGGTGAAGCAGTTCCCATATATCACATAGAGCTTGTGAAACACTTGGATGAAACACTGGATGAAAACCACTTTGGATAGATTTATACTGTAACCGTAAGCGTGCATCCCAGCATAAGCAGATAATACAGTAGGCTTCCGATAATCCGGAACCTATGGGACCTAGGTGGTGCCGGATTATCAGATATGCCGGACTATCAGGAGGTACTATACGCTGGTTATGTATATACTATATACATTATATACTGTATATAAAGTGTTCTTAACCCTTTTTATTGTACATACTGTATACAGTATACTGTAATGTTTTAGTTTTTTTAAGCCTTTTTTTACCCTTTTTGCTCAGTTCAGCTGCTGCCGCTGTTACCTTGTGACTCATTTTTTGCCGAAGCTCACTCACTAGGCTCTTGCCATTTTGATGCTGGACTATCAGGAGTGCCGGACTACTGGATGCCAGACTATTGGAGTTTTACTGTACATCACTAGCTCTGCTTGAGACACATGCTAAAAGTCCGCTTGAGTGAGTGCACTAAAAACTGAGATGGTCACACTGTAACATGGGCTGGTAACCTGAGTTGGGAACCGAGGGCCTAACAGGGTTTGTACATGGGTGATTAACCTGTATTGCAACGTCCACACTGCTATTTTTAGCAGTGAGAACAAGTCACAACTTGTTACTTTTTCTACCGGGGTGAAAGTAACTTACACATCTTATAGGCACTGTTAGGGTTGCCAGGTGTCTGGTTTTCTACTTGACAGTCTGTTTTTTGGGGCCTCTGTCTGGTAAAAAAAATCCAGAAAATACCAGACATGTGCAACGTCCGGTTTTTCCTGGTTTTCCGGCTGAGCCTGGAGGGGGCGGAGGGAAATCCAGATATGTCATTATTCCCCTTTATTCAGCTCTGTTGAGGCCACATCTAGAGTAGTGTGTCCAGTTCTGGGCCCCCCACTACAAAAAGGATGTGGACGCATTGGAGAGGGTCCAGCGGAGGGCAACCAAAATGATTAGGGGGCTGGAGCACATGACCTATGAGGAGCTGCTGAGGGAGTTGGGTCTGTTTAGTCTGCAGAAGTGAAGAGTGAGGGGGGATTTGACAGCAGCCTTCAACTTCCTGAAGGGAGCTTTCAAAGAGGATGGAGAAAGGCTGTTCTCAGTGCTAACAGATGGCAGAACAAGGAGCAATGGTCTCAAGTTGTGGTGGGAGAGGTCCAGGTTGGATATTAGGAAAAACTATTTCACTAGAAGAGTGGTGAAACACTGGAATGGGTTACCTAGGGAAGTAGTGGAGTCTCCATCCCTAGTGGTGTCTCGGTTTGACAAAGCCCTGGCTGGGTTGATTTAGTTGGGACTGGTTCTGTCTAGAGCAGGGGGCTGGACTTGATGACCTTCTGAGGTCTTTTCCAGCTCTATGATTCTATGATATGAGTGACTGGGAGGCAGGGCACAATCGGTGCTGGGAGCCCTGGTTGCGTGTGAGGAGGAGCAGCAGTCCGGTCCATGCTCCTGCGCACTGGTCAAGCACGTGGTGGCGCCGCAACCGGACTGACTCCCACCCTTGAATTGGGAGTGCCCTGAGATCTGTACAGCCCAGGTCAGTCCTGCTCCCCACTGGCTGATTTGCTCCCCCCCCCCTCCTAGCCGGCCGGTTGGTTGATTCGCCCCAACTTCT